TTAGGTCCGGGCGATGGAGTCCGTCGTTATAACTGGAGATCAAGGAATGCAGCGAAACGCAGACTTGGTTCGCCTGCTGTAGTATTAGCTAAATAAATTATGTTGAACAAGGCTTATTAAGCTGAACATCGCCACAATTGTTCTGCTATGTATCGGTACTTATTTTCTTAACGTGTGAATGACAAGCATTAAGAATAACAAAATATAGCTAATTCTCTTGCAGATTGTCTCATTTGATTATGAATGTAACGTTTATATAGGGGAACTACACTGTTAGCAGTAACTTGGTATGCATGTATTTCATGTTAGCTTAGCTTCTTAGCCTGAGCTAGCTCTGTTTACTTCCAGTTCGGAGGGAGCAGGTCCCGCCTCGGCTCCGCCTCTTTGCCCTTATTTTGAACAGGCGGGATTAGACTCTGACGTCGCTGTTCGTGGCCGACTCCGCCTACTAAGGGCTTCTTGGCAACTCTGCAGAATCCTATGGGTGACGTCACGGACACTACGTCCATTTATATATACAGTCTATGGCTGACGCCAACAGGCAGGAACAGGGAGAAAGAACACTGAGAGCACAGCAGCCAAGGTTACAGGTGCCTGTGCTCAGTCAGTACAGTATGAACTGATAAACTGGGTCAAAGTTATGGGCTTTGGGAAATATTTCTCCAACAATAACGTCACGAGTTTGTATCTTTCAGTGTTGAGGTGGAAACCGTTAGATTATGTGTCTTTACGATCATAAACGATGTGTTGGATGTGCAGCTAGGATAAGTAATAAGGGAGCTAAGAGTGATTTTCGGTGCAGTAATAGGTTAGAATTTTTAGCTCGGGGCTAATTCAGAGGGTCAGTGTTAGCATTGTGTGTTTATTTTGAAAAAGAAAATGAAAAAGATCAGTTAAATTATTTTTTTCCGTTATATGGATATAAAATATTCATAGTTTATAAAATATTAAGGTTCCTTAGACGTTGTTTCCTGCAAATGAAGCGATTTCGGCCCCGGAACCGGGTCCGTGGGGCTTAAGAGTTACATTCCACCATCGTGTGCGAGGAAAATCAATCTCAGCTTCTGAGATCTTTTCCCAGTGGCTCACATGATATTGTGGACAGTGTCATTTTTTCGTTTTTTTAGTGTACATTTATTTAAAAACGTTAATTTGAAGATATAGATAATCAATAAAAAAAATAGAATCAAGTAATAAATGATGATTTATTAGACATTTGGTGAACAGGGGGGGAGTCAGCAGCAGTGTCAGCAGCAGCAGTCACGAGAGATAATCTCTGGAGGTTTAGCTGCAGCATGAATCCATCGTAGGCCCCCTTCATCTCTCGTTGTCCTTGAGCTACAACACTGTGCACAAGTGGTGCTAAAGGGAAATACCAATACCAAAATAAAGGGGTAAATGTTGGAGTGTATCTGTCTATGTGTTAATGTGTCCTGTCCAATTATTGTTAATTCCCCGAACTTCTACACTAAACTCCACGTTACATTAAGATGCATACAAGTCCATGTGTATTGCATTAATGTACATCTTTGGGAATATATATCTGTACATTAAATATTGTTTTGCGCTAACCTTGCTCAAATTTTGCACATTTCTGCACAAAACCTGCCTCTTGTAAATCTGCACAGCTTTATATTGGTATATTGTTGATATTCTATTGCACAGTCATTTTCATATTCTCTTTATGTTTCTTCTATTTAAAAATTTTTAAAAAAATGTTTTATATATATATGATTTATTTTCTTATTGCAATTTTGTTCTTTCTATATTTTTGACTTTACATATTCTGTAATTCTGTGAAGCTGCCAAAAATGTTGAAACTTCATAGTCCTATTGTATTTTTAGTTTCTTGTAAATAATGCAAGATATGTATTGTTGGGGAGATATGTTCCTAGGCCCATAACTTTGGTCCAGTTGATCAGTTTGTACTGCCCTCAGTGAGCACAGGCCTGCGACCTTGGCTGCTGTGCTCTCAGTGTTCTGTCTCCCTGTTCCTGCCTGTTGGCGTCAGCTGATTGAGGTGTTTTGGTTTTATCTTGTTATGCACAATGTGGATTCTTCTCTCAGAACCAGCTAAATACATGGGTCTGGGGTAGAGATCTTCAGAATTGGTTTGGCACGCCGCTGTGTCAACTCGTGGCTCAGCACGTCTTGTGAATTCTCCGGCCGAAGCTCCAAATAAAACGTCAGTCTTAATTGTTGTATTGCTATGTTAATCCTGCACTAATACACCAACATTCTACATGAAAACCTACATGGAAAAAAATTGTAACATTTCTAATTCAGATTTTAAGATTTGCCAAAGAAAAAAAAAAAAGTTACATGCAATTGGATCACTTTGCAGCAAGCATTTATTTGATATAATTCATACAGCATTCTTTCTATATAAACCCCACTAAATGTGGAAATGTGAAACATCTCCCAGCTCAGCACTGCAGCTGCACTGAAAGAACTGAAACATTGACTTTAATTAAAGTATTATGTCAACAGATTTCACATAACTATATTAGGTTAGTTGAAAGGAATACTATTAAGTTTAAAGAAAAAATATTAGGTTCAACTTAAAAGTATTGCTTTCAACTAACCTAATACAGTTATGTGAAATGAGTCAAGTCAACGTGTCTTCACTGGCCTGGGAGCGCCTTGGGATCCCCCAGTCAGAGCTGGTTGAAGTGGCCAGGGAAAGGAAAGTGTGGGGCTCTGCTGGAACTGCTGCCTCCGCGACCCAACCACGGATAAGCGGGAGAAGATGAGTGGATGGATGGTTTCAGTTTTTACATTGTGAGATTTGCTCAGAGCATCACTCAGCTTTCGGATTTTAAGCTGATTTAAGCAAAGAAGTCGCAAGGATAACACAGGTTATCGCCTTATCAGCTAAGAAGTGAACTCTCCAATTCGCGGCCGCCTACAGGACGGGCTGGCTGTGGTCAGAATCCTGAGAGCGGATTAATGCAGCTGATATTTTTAGGTTTTACTCCAGAGCCCTCAGAAACTCTTTCTGCTTATATAAAGCCCTGAGAACATGTAGGAAACATTTGGGAATTGTTTCTCGGAAACTGGAAGTAAATTCAGACTGCTGCTTTACATGTCACACTCCTATAGTATCAACGCCTCTCATAAATATATTTACAAGAACATGTATCATATATTTTTTTTTTTAAATCTTAATAACAATAGCTTTAAAAACTCAACACAGTTTGAGATCTGGACATTTAAAAATAGTTACCCTGAGACAAGTAAAACAAGACTTACAAGGATTTTCTTTTCTCTCTAACCCGAGTCTCTACTCAGCTTAATGATCCCGAGTCTTTTTCAGGATCATTCTAGTCTGAATGATTCACACTCGTCTCAAACTAAATAAAACGCTCTGAAGCAGGGCTGCAACTATCGATTATCAAAGTAGTTGGCGTTTATTTTTCTGTCGATTTCCTTACGGTTGCACCTCTACCCTGAAGTGTCACAGTGTTTTAGGGGCAACCTGTACATTCCTGGTACAGGAACTTATTCTCCAACTCCTCTACATTTTCCTCCTGCACACATTTTTTAGGGCTAAAACGTCCCCATGTCTCACTAAGTTGAGCCTCATAGCACCAACAGTAGAGGGAATCAGTGAAGAGCTCGAAATTGTTTTCTTACTAATAAATACTATATTTTAGATGACTTACTTATTTGCCCTGTGCATAGATAGATAGATACTTCTTTTCTTATATACAATACATACAATTGTTTTTTAAAAAAAGCAAAAATAAACGACCACTTTGATGTCAATGCAGTGGTCAATCTTAATTATGAGGTTTAGGATCAAAAAAGTGTAATATTAAATAGTAAAACTCTCTTTGCCATGTTCTTAATCAGCACTTTTCACTGTGTAAACAGTGAACAGGGGGGGGGGGGCGCCTTGAAATACTGAAATCTTTACACAATCGACTTGAGTATACTAAAAGATATTTCGGCATGTTGGTTCAAATTTGTTCAAATTATGTAATCTAACACTATAGTCCTTAATAAAGGGTTGTGAAAATGACTTCTAGCAGTCAACATGGTTGCATGTCTACATCTTTAGACATTTAGAAGCAGTGAACCACAGAGATCAAAATAAGTCATCACATCCTCCGTATTTTACCGAACATTGCCTGGATAGCATTGCCTCTAAACATTGAGCATCCCTTAAAAGAAAGGGATGGTACATATTTCTCAACAAAGACGCACACCTCTTTCTGGATCCATCCATCAATGTTGGTGTGCATCTGACTGAGAGACAAACAGATTACTGATTGTTATAACTCGTATACGACATCGAACATCTCACAGCAATATACACGTGCCCGACTTCTTCTCGTCATCGGGGTCTCCTCCGCCCGCTTTTCTGTTGGGGTCGTTGAGCTCGTCAAACAGTTTAGTCTCGATCATCTCCGTCTGCCATTGAATGGGTACAGCGCCTGTGCTGAACTCCTTGAAGAACTTATTGTCATTGGCGTCAAACTCTATGCCCTTGATCTCGGAGAATTCTGCGATGTCGTCGGTGTCCTTGGCGTAGACGACGTTGGGCTTGGGCACCCATGGAGGGTCCACCAGCCCGGCCTCCAGACGGGGGAAGTTGATGTTCTTGAACCACTCGTGCTTCCTGGGATCCTCCATGTTGTTCCTGGTAAGAAAGTAAAAAGTATTCTTTCAGACTGAATCAAGAACACTGGCTGCACGGGTTTAGACAACATGTTGGTTAAGGTTTAGATTTAGTTTATGTGGTAGAGTCTAGAATCTTGAGCTCACTGCTTAACCATCTTGTGAAGTTATCGCAAATCGAGACACCATCTAGACACAATTTGTGTTCTTTTTCCTCTTACTAAACCAGTTCATTCATTCATTGTTATTCCCATCTCTGATCCTTAACACCCATTACAGCGGATCAAAAACGTTTAAATCTTAAATGATATGTGTAACTGATTTCCGGTTTCTTTTTTAGAAAAATATACAGTTACAAAAATTACAATTGACTGAAAACTTGAAACACACACAAACAGCATGTGGCTTGCCTAAAAGGGTAGAAGAACCTCTTACTTAATGCCCAGGCGCTCCTCAATCTTCTTCTTGAGGAACTGCTGGATGACGTCCTTGGTGGGAGCATCGAAGCACTTGTGCTCCCACTTTGGTTCCTCGTTCTGGATACGGCGCTGTACCTCCTCCTTCTCCACCTTCTCTTTCTTGCTCTCTGGCCCTTTGAAAGGTGTGTAGCCAGCCACCATCTCGTAGATACTGCAGCCCAGGGCCCACCAGTCCACTGATGTCCTATATGGAGTTTTGGTCAGGAGCTCAGGGGCCATGTAGGCTCCAGTACCAGCCTGAAGGAGATGGGGACGATTGAATATGAATCTGTACATTCTTTTAATACATGTTTTCCTTGTTGGCCAAGAGACTAGACAGCATGTTGTGCCTATAGGTCTTGTGGAAGGAAAGACTTCTAAACAAAACTTTGAGCCATGCCCTTCGTAGGTCCCCATGGACAAGTGTTGCACAGTATTATAGCCTGGGTAACTGAAAGCTTTATTCTATTGTTTCTTTCTCTCTGTGTAACTTTCACCTTTCCCTTCTTGGATTGTAGACCCGCTGGACCCCCCCGCCCACACCTCACCCCTCCCTCTCCATGTATGACCTCACCTGCAGCCCTAATCCTAATGATAAGCCTAGTACCTGTCAAGAGTCATGTGCGTCTTTACATTGACAGAGCTGCCCAGCCTCTTATATAAAGCCTGGCCATTTCTGGAGGCTACATCCACCAATATAAATAAGGAAGATCCAGACAACACGTAGCCATGCCTCTGTCAGTAATGCACACACACTACAAACTGGCATGGAGCCAAGAACTCAACCTTTGCTACTAAAAATACATATTTTCTAAAGAGATCCATAGGTTTCTGGTCTTTGTATTTTGATGATTGTTAGCATTTGACACAGCATCATTCAACATCTCTTGCACCTTTTTTTAAAAATGTGCATGGTACTTCAAGATCTGGCCTTTACTTCAACTACAAGAATCCCTACTGTGAGATTAGTGAAGGCATGATGCTTTACTGACACATTCTTAACCCTTTAAGTCCTTGTACTTACTTCCATGTTCCCTATGCAAATGATTAAAAACTTTTTCTGGTGGCTTTTTGGAACTGTGTTCTGTTAGGGTTACTCAACCCTGCACAAAATGGTTATCCTACACACTCTGGTCACTTAAAGGGGCAAAACTCTACTATGCGTAATCATCAAGATTATTCTGATCCTATTTGCAAGGAACTGATCCCATTTTTGCGAGGTCAAAGTCAACGTGTTTGCAAACTAACATGTCTTAACATATTCAGCTTTTACCTGGATCTGTCAGTGTAATCAGGGACAGACTTGTGTAATGCCCACTAAGAAGATTAGGGGCCCAAAGCCAGCCTTGCCTGTAGGAGGTGAGCCCAGTCACTTTGGCTGGTGGAGGAGCATCAGAGTACTGGATAATGAGCTTACTAGACTTTCATGGAGACGAGAGCTTACTCTTTGCTACGGCAAGTAAGTCCTAAAGGAACCCTGATGCAAAATGTGGCATATTTTTTCAGGTCATTTGTAGGCTTTGTCAGTCCTGACAAATGTTTAGAGCTCAGTGATCAATGTCATCATGGTGTTTTGTTAATGACAACCTTTTTTTAGGCACATTGTGGAGAAATCCTCAGTTAGAAGCATCGGGTGTAACATCAAACTGAACTCAATGATGACATGAGAACTGTGTCATGAAGTATTGCAGGCTACAGGCTTAAAAAAGTGTTCTGGTCAAAAACTACGCTCAGCTGAGGCAACTCTCTCAAGGTAACGTTTTTGAGGGAAACTGGTATTTGTAGAGTGCTAGTTTAAATATAATTGGTCCACTAATGTCTACGACCTAGTCCCTACACAAAATTGTGGCCTATAAATTGCCAGGCTATAATCTGACTGCTAAAGGATCAAATGAGTTATATAATGGCTTCAGAGACTCATTGCACAGATCTTTGAGCAATCCGGTAATCCCTGTCCGGATTTAAAGTAAAAACCCTACGAAGTCTAAGCCTGAGCTCAGTTTTTGACTCCAACTTGACTAAGAAAGGTACAGACATGAGTATGTGTTTTCTTAAACCTCAACCATAGAGGATGATGTCATCAAACTATTGTTGGTTTAAAGATCTGATACATGTAACAGAATCAGGGAAGAGTCATTGCCTGCACTTTGGTGTATGCAACTTCAAAGACTTTGAAAAAAAAAAAAGCACCCATGAGGGTTCACAATCTTGCTATGATTCCCATTATCATGTTAGCAATGCTAATGAGTACTCCAAACTGGAATTGCCATTCAACCAGTGTTTTATAACCAGTTTTGTTTGTACTCACCATCTGGGTGATGGTCTTCTCTGGAACAATCTCTACAGCCAGACCCAAATCCGAAAGTCGGCACTGACCAAAGCTATCCAGCAACACATTTTCCGGCTTCATGTCACGGTATATGACATTCATTTCGTGCAAATGCATAATCCCGGTGGTGATTTGCGCTGTGTAGTGGATGATGCGCTTCATCTCGATGCCCTTGTCCGCACCCCTGCCATCATAGCCTATGTTGTAAATGTGGTACCTGAGGTCTCCTCCATTCATCAGGGTCATGACAAGGCACAGGTGGGTCTTGGTGTCATAGGCGTAGCCCAAGTTGACCAGAAACAGACTGTTAACCTTCTCCAGGATCTGCTTCTCTAACAGGGCCATCTTCTCACCACCCTTCTTCTTCAGTCGCTTTTTACATAACTTCTTGCAGGCATACATCTGGCCTGTGTTCTTCACCTGAACAGCACACACCTGAGAAAGACAGATGAGTTGTTAAAAAGGACCTATGTTATAATCAATGCCCAAGAATGTATCTTTTGATTGATCAGGAGGCTGTGGCTTGTTCTCTGTTTTAAAGGGGGGATGGAGATAAAGCTCCCTAAATAAACTAAAAGAATACCTATAAATCATCAATGTATGTCATCACAAATGTCATGATCCACAATTGATATTATTACAAATAATGCCCAATAACACTGATTTAGAATCATTGGTTGGATTAAAACTGCTTCAAGAAGTCAACCAAACCTGAACCTTGCCAGCTTTAAATCTTGGTAACCAGGGTTCGAGTTATGTGGGAGTCAATGGGAGCTGGCTCCCACAAGGAGGGCCTGAGCTCCCACAGATGCAGTGAAATCATACATCTTTGGGGGTCGCTAATACATTACCAACAACCATTATTTTAATCACAAATAATGCATGTGTCAATGTAATGAGTATTATTTACGTTAACGAGGTAAATAGGCTAAAAGAAAAACATGTTTTCGAAAAGAACTACGCATCTCTTGAATGACAATATGCCTAGACTGCACCTCCAAGGTGCGCAATACATTATTGCACAATCTATGCCTGTGAGCGTGCTGCGTGAGCCGAGATGATGTGTTATGTGGTGTGCGTAGTTGAAGCTTTTCATATTTAAGTTTGTAGCAAGTAGAGGGCTGCTGCTGTGTGTGTGTGTGTGTGTGTGTGTGTGTGTGTGTGTGTGTGTGTGTGTGTGTGTGTGTGTGTGTGTGTGTGTGTGTGTGTGTGTGTGTGTGTGTGTGTGACCCCCATAGAGCTCAGTTTATAACTCAAACCCTGTTGGTAACTATGTGCAACCTATCTTATCTTAACATTTACTAACGGTTTCAATCATTCCCTGTAAATAGAGGATAAGGTTTATCCACTATATTGCACTATTGAGCAAGTTACATTAATAACAAAAAATTGGTTGTCCATTACGATATACAACATTATACGGTAAAAACATTACCGTAATAAAATTAAATGTCTCACCAACTTATGTTGGTTTGCATTCTCAAGCTTATTGCTAAGAGGTTGAGTCAGATAAGAGGTTCCTCAAGGCTCGATTCTGGGTTCCCTGTGCCTCTGATTTTCTTCAAACATCTCTTATCCATTGTGAATATTTTAAAGGCTTTTTTATACAATCTACTGTCATATTTGTGTCTGAATTTAAAAACTAGATCTTGTTATTGATAAGACAATAAAATCAAGTAGTATTTAAACCATGTTAGTTCTATAAACGCAAGACCACTATTTTTCTTCATTGTGGCTTTGCATTTGTCACTTCATGAAACGTTAGCCATGATTTTTAAGGTTCAAGAGGTGCTTGTATGTCTCATGACTTCATGGCCACCTTCAGACTAGGTAATTCCTCATGATTATGTTAGGTGTAATCACCTTGCCTACAATATCCTTCCTTACGCTTTAAAGCAAATAGACAACTTCAGCTTAGGGATTTTCTTAAGAAAAGATCAACACTGGCTGACCACAATTCTTGAAGCACACATTTGTATCTCCTTTCTTATCTTTTCTAATATATTATTTAAAACATTATGAAAACACACATTTTGGACCTGAAAACACCATCTTATTCAACAACTGGGAGAGCTATGCAACTAAAAGCAGGTTAAAATATAAAATATTTGCCTTAACACATATTTCAAAAGACTTCTAGAGAAGTATATGTAGAAGAGTTTGCATGCTTACCTCTCCGAAGCCTCCTTTGCCAAGAGTTCTGAACTCATAGAAGTATTTGTCACTGATGGGCTGTTTCTCGTACTCTTTCCATTGAAGGAATTTATCAAAGAATGGGCTGTCCTGGTAATCTGTGAAGGGTTTGTTTTTCAAAAACTCTCTTACACCATCCTGGACTGTGCCTTTCATCACCTCTTCAAACGTGGCATCTGTCACAGCCTTGAATTTGTCCGCAGGTTCCCCGGTAAGAAAGGTTAGGAAACTCTTGGAATCAGCCTTGCAATAATTTGTCAGGATGTTTTGACGTGCCTTGTCTTTTGGAGGACCTTCACTCAGATCCCAGTCGTAAAGCTCATCCAGAAAATCAGCAGCAATCTTAAACTCAGGGTTATTTACCAAATAATCACGAAAGAATTTTTTGCCGATAGGCTGCCTTTCACAAAGCGATGAAAAATCCTTTTCGAGGGAGGTTCTCACTGCAGCACATACCTCAGGCTTGGGGAGAGCCAAGCTGCGGCGGCGCTTTTTCATCTCCTTGTCATCACCACCCTGGGCTTTTAGGTAGGCCGTGTTGGCCACCAAGTTATCCAGTCCCCCCATGTCACACATCTTGGCGGCTGTTAGTGGTCTGCTCCCCCTAAGTGACTGGGTTCTTCAACGGTTCCCCACGGATACCCTAAGTGTCTTACAGAATGTGCGTGAGTGCAATTAGCTCCAGAGCCAGCGAGCAAATGAGCCCCTTCATCCAGACTACCTGCAAACCTAAGACACACTGACACACCCAGTAATTACTCATTTAGAATTAAAGACCAGGGAGGGATTTTGGCTTAAGGATCTTTGTATGGACTATTCAAGGATGCTGTGCACGGAAAGGGAATCGTAAGCGGGCTCTGTCCTAAGAGGCTTTGTAGCCCTCTATATTTGTTCATGGTGCTCAGTAGTCTCTAACAGTGGTCCACTGGCTTCTTTGACTATGCATTTCATGGTGGGAGAGTTAAAGATGCAGAAAATTCAAGATATAGACACCTTTAACACAATTGTCATTACAGTTTTTGTAGGGTACTCTTTTTAACGTTGAGAAATACTTTGGTTTACACAGGATATCGTACCATTTGATTAGATAATAATGTTGTCTTTGGAGCCTTGAGCAGAATAATGATGAAATATTTTAACTGAGAAAGTCAATGTGGTAAAGATCTACGGTATGGCATCATCATCTTTTTCACTTTCCTCCTCACAGTCTAAACAGAGCAGATACTCCTAATCCGTCTGCAAAGTGACAACCGCCTTACAATAACTAAATCTAGTCTTGACAGCCACTTACAATCCCTACAACACAAGTCAGCAGACACCCATTTACACACACATACAATGTGCCACCCGCTCATAATGCTTGATAAACATTCCCACACACAATCATATAGTTAATGTTTGAAGCAATTTGGGATTCATCATATTGCCCAAGGACCCTTGGACATGTGGCGGGATCAAACTCAAACAAAAGTATAAGCCTTTGATAAATGGTCATTTGGGTGCACACATATTCCTAGGACAACCCGATATCACGGCAAGACGTGAACATGTGACGATTTACCATGCTGGGAGACGTGAATATGTCACGATTTCGTCCCTTCAAACTTGACAGTTACACGGTATTGTTAACCCATGTTAACCAGTGGAGAAATAACCGGAAATGCCAAGCAAATGCTACCCCGACGTAATGATTTATTTTTTAATAGTCACACTCGATTACGCCTTTTTTCTTGTTGCCTCAGCTGGTCGACACCTCTTTTAGCAGAAACAAAGGCTGTGTTAAATCGATGTTAATCCATGCATGTGGATGTGGAACCGGAAACAGACGTAGGCAAGATCCTCAGCTCGATGATTGGATGGTTTAGCCGCAATGCATGCAGGGAGTTGGTGTTTATGTGATGTGAAATCTGAAAACGTTTTTTAAAAATAAAATAATACTTTATTTCGAGTGTGCTTGCTTTTTTTTCTCTGAAAGTCATCACATAACGGCATTGTAATACACGGTTCGGCTGCATTAAATATTACATATCTGCCATAGTTCTCTATTTATAGAGCCCTGCTGAGAAGACTTCTAGACAAACAGGAACAACTGCCGCCAAAACTGAGTGACGTGGATCATAAATATATAAGCAATTAAACAACATCTTACATTTATTTTCACACAATACGTCTCCTTGCAGTATCAACACTAATTCGGCTGACTGTAATATTTGATCCAATTTGTAGATAGGCTGTATTTACACCATAACGGTGCACAGCTGATATAAAAGGAGTTGTAGTTTTTAAAGATATTACTGATTTTCTTTGAATATAAGAATGTAAATACTGAGTTGAGAGAATATAGCAATATGCTGTAAAATTATGTGAAAAACATGAATAAA